ACGGATCCCGAACCAGTCCTAGCAATCGAGCACTCTCCCTTTTTCCGCGGAGTTAACCCCCGCCTCTAATGCAGACCAATGCGTCATGGACTCACGCGATCCTTCGTTCATAGACAAACGTCCGAGAACATAGATTGTGGCAGGAAGATTGGTGATCCAGCTTTAATAGTGTAACGTACCTCTTTCATAGATACAGAAAGCTCATTAGTAGATAGCATTATGTTTTAACCCTTTGCACTCGTATGTAATGCTGAAGATGACAATACAAATTTGTTATAATTTATTTGTGGTACTTGAAAAGGTACTATACTTTAAAAGAACATAAAAAGTAAATCTTATTATAATAATCATAAACAAAATAAATATAAAACGTCGAATTCTATGACTGCGAATTACTTTAATTCATCCCTCTTAAAGTAGATACAAGTTTGCAGCTAACAACATTGAAAATAAATCGAGTGCGAAGGGTTAAAAAGGTTTCTAGCAAGAATGGTCAACGCGTTTTCTGATGGAATATAAACAACGTGTTTTTGGAACTGATTTAATGTGAAATTACACATAAATTAAGGAACGAAGCTGGTTTGTTTGAATATTTTATGTGTTGATACATTACATAAAATTAAATACTGAATATTAAACTTTTTTATTTTCATATATTAAACTGAGTAATGAAAGGAACGATTTATGTGAGTGTAATAAAGAAAGTAGGAATAGTAGTTCCTGGCTGTTGGAATAGTTTATTTTTTAGGGTAAGTACGCACTGTCGGTCAAGTCAAGGTTTAATTCAATATTGGGTCGTATGCATAAAAAGAAGTATCAGCTTTTATGAAGAATTTTGTGTCGTTAAGCTGTAGGTGTGGGTACTTATATATAAACTAGCGATACGGTTAGTGTTAATAAGAAATTTAACAGTGCAAAATTATACAGAATAATCATGATATGAAAAACTATATAAGATATCGTAAGTACAGTGCTTTTTATAATATTTGTAAGCAGCAGGTATTTTCCATCGTTATCTCATTTTTCTAATTGTGTTCTTGAACATTTGAATTTGCATGAAAATCAGCAGTCCAGTCATTAGCATTAAAACGGTCAGAATGAATATTACTGAGTTCCTTACTAAATCACTAAAATTATAAAAGTACTTTTCTAAATAATAATTGAGTAAATTAGTATATTTATGAATATACCACGATAAAAATTGTAAAAAATAATAAAAATGTATAATCTCATAACTTTTATAAAAAAAGTTCCAAACATATTTTTTAAGTTAATGAATTATGAACATTCTTAGGTTATGAGAAAGTACTGCAGAAATGTATAAACCTTAATGAAATTGCTGCAAACGATTCCATAAAATGTAATTGTATATTTCAGTACACAGTTCAGTATTCAGTATACTCGGTATATAGCTGATGGCTTCAAGGCAATGAAGAGTCTATAAAAGTCCGTCTTGCCAGATGTACATTTCAACATCAGACAGTTTCCTTAGTACCTAATAAACTTAACACGTACACAATAAACGCACAGGAATAATTAAAAGATACATCAAGATTACAGATAAGGTTTATTAGGTATTTCTTAATCTGCATTTTATATTGAATAAGCGATAGTCTGATAAAATAAAAACAAAAATATTTTATCTTTGCTCATAGCAATAGCGGATATCGTTTTCAAAAATTTCAAAATACTAAATAGTGACTAAGGTAAAATGTCAATTGCATATGTACACCGATTCCCTAAACGAGGTTCCGATAAATAAAAATAAAGGTACTGTAAATCACCTAGTCAAAATAATTCTAGTCTAAAAGAAAAAGTAACAGTAACATTATTATTACTGCATGACTTCCGTCACATCAAGTTGTATGCTAACACCAAAAGAAATCCTCAGACCCCTTCTACATGAAGACATAAATACAGTAAACAACCACGAAAGAGAAGCAAGTGTAGACAAAAATCGAAAAACCTAAAAAACAAGATTTAAAATATCAGAATTGCTGGTAATTTTCGTACGCAGTTGATACGACATAAAATTCAATAAAGAAGGAAGCATTTTTAGATCTACATTTACATGACTTTTTCTCATTTCTATGTGAAGTAGAATATGTTGCAAAAGTTTAGTCACCTATATTTCTGTCACCCTATATACCTGTCGATGTGAGTCGGTGCAACATCGGAAATCGAGTGTATTCTTAGCAGAACAAATATTGTTACTTCGCAAAACGCCATAGGGCTTCTTGCGATACAGTTATCGAGTCTCGAATGTCAACTTAGGGGAACGGGCGCGGACTAACGCCTTGCCATGACTTATCCAATGAACCTTGGTATATACTTTTATTTGCATCCCAGTTGTTATTAACCCTTTTCACCTGACAATATTTGTCATAATAATTATGTATTATTTTCTAATGAAATCGATGATACTTATTTCAACTAACGCAAATAAACATCTTGAACTATTTTATTTCTGTGTTTCATGTCTTGATACATTATGCAAAATATAACATGTAATTAAAAATTTTACAAGTTTGTTCAGTTGAATTAAATGGCGACTGATACAGTTATACAAATGTTATTTTCAGTTTATTAATATTTCATTTTTACGCTGAAAATCCGTATTTAGAATACATACGAAAATGATATATCATATAATAGACGATAAATCATATACTAGAGAATAAAAAAATTGTTTTTCGTCTTAGCTGAGCTATCTGTGTGACATTATTTGATTTTGAAATCAATATTACATAGTATTGATATCAAACATATTGGATTAGTAAAGAATATGAAAATCTGAAACAATTCAATCTTGAATCATTTTATGAGTATTTTAAACTAAATTTTTTATTTGTAGATTGAAATGACTACCTTTGTTGGGAAAGTATTAATAATAAAGCAACCAATCACCAAGCACGAAATTAATACAACAGAACGTTATACACAAACGACGTATTTATTACAATATTAATTTTTGTTTTATGATACTTCTTTTTGTTTTTAATTTTAATATTTATTATAGGTGCAGTCTTAGTTTTTTATTATTAAATTATATTGTTAGTAAGTTTTATATTATTGTTATAAAACAATGCAATGATTACTAGCCTTAATGTCCTGAATATAAATAACATTTAAAGCATTTGTTTGATTTTATTTCTAAAGTAAAACGAAATGTACAGAATGAAATTTCACTCAAGATTATTTTACACATTATTGGTCACATTATCTTTAAATTAGTCAGGAAAAACAGAGACAAACAACATCAAAAAGGATATTTTTATTTCAAAAATAAACCAACTAACTGTCAGATTAAATAAAAAGTGTGGAAAGACTATTAAAATATAAAGATTAATTTCTCTTTATGATAATTTTTTGTTGTAATTACTCGTGCGGTGTTATCATTAGAAAATGTTACTAAATAATTCAATATATAAATCGAGTAGAATCAGGATTTCACATCTCTCAATTTACAAATTGGTAACAATCTACTCCAAATTCACTAATTACAAAATTGTTTGGGGCTCCCTCACGCACGTTGGCAGCGATCACTCCCCAGTGATATTCAATTCACAGAGCCCTATAGATGTTACTCTGTTTATTCCACTGAAAATACATTGACTGGCTCGCTTGTAGCCTTTCTACGTCACAGTGCCATATACGTGGTACTCCTGTCACAGGATACCCCGAAACCGCGCTTCCGCTCAACACACCATTCGATCGGACTCTTTGACAAGTCGTGAATCCACAAAATTTCATCGGAACTGCCGATTACCATCGCCGAACTAAGAACAAGATCCAACACATCGAAGTTCATCGATTCGTACGAACAACAAAAGGGAAAACTTTCAAACCTCCAAGACTACGAAACTGAGTCTCGAATCAGCTGGAAATCTAAAGAATCATTCAACGTAATCAACCTATCCTAAAATTAGAAATAATATTTATTACGTCACTAAAATTACCTTTGCAGCAGATGCGACGAAAAGCCAATAATAAAAAGAAAGGAACATTTAGTTATTTTCCCAACTGAACGTCTAAGAAAGCGTTAACTCGAATCTGACACTCATTCGCACAATTCTGAAGTCGTTTCGCGAGGAATGAAAACGTCTCCGGGACGAATGGTTAAAGCGATCCATCAGCGTGCAAACAATCACACGATAACGCGGCGATTTTAAAGTCCGAACAGTCGAGTGGCTCGCGACACTTGGAGAGATCAGGATAATTGAGGACCTTGCTGCTGAAGGGATGTAGCTCCATTTTTACCTACTTCGAGTAAATCAGAGAAAAGTGTTTGTAAAATGATCGTTCTGTGAACGACCGTTGAACGTGAAATTAAAAATAAACTGGTCAGTGAGAAACATATTTTTTTGCCGAATGAATAGCAAGTGTTCAATCGATATGTTTTTGTTACTCGTTTCTGGTGAATTTTACAACTCTGGAGCTGCACCCGACTCGCACCAAAGTGTACAAAAATACGTTTGCTCTTTCAGAAGCATACACAATAAAATACACAATTGATTGATTTACTGTTGCTTTATTAATCAAATGCGGAAAGAGTGCGTTGACATTTTTCGTAAACATCGAAAAACAACAATATTCTTGAGCTTGCTCGTCATCATTGTCCGTAGAAATATCCTCATATCCCCAGTCAAGGCGCGTTTCAGTGTCTTACGGAAAGGCTGGTTATTAGGTGAGAATAGTTGTCGGCTAACTGCGTTACGTCATTAAGACGCATGCAGATCCGAATTTGCATTCATATTGCACAAGAACGGTAACGGGTGCAAGTCCAAAATTTACAATGAAACGCTCGTTTCTTATTGAATTCGCGTTAGACAAGCACACCAAACGATGTAGTATACTTTGTTCGCGTGTGTTACACGTGATAATGAAAAAGAACTGTCAAAAGTGGAGCTGCATCAAGGTCCTCAATTAAACAACTGCTTGTCGATTAAGGCCGATCGCAGATTAAATGATTTTCACTGGCAAACATTAGGGACACGTACAGTCCATCCGGAGTCCGGCTGATACCAACTAGAAGGCTGGTGTGTTCGGTCGCGGCCGATGGAACTTCCACGGAACTGCACTGGTATTATCGTTTCTGTACGGTAACCGTACGCGGAAACAGGATCAGATTCCGAGACGAGGGAACCCCACGGGAACGGCGGAAAAGAGACACCTCAGGACGCGGGAGGCCAGTCGCGAGACGCGAACCAAACCCAACTGAAGTGCGATGTTTCTGTACCCGCGACCGCGCCCCCGCCGTCCCACTCCTCACCCGATTAAACCCACCCGCGCACGCGTTTCGCTCCCGTAACTCGACTACGGGGTTGCTCCGCTCTTTTTCTCGGAACACTATCCCCGCTTACCACTTAGCGTCTGAGAATTTTTTCGAGGGCCTAACCGAAGAATGTTTGAATGATATTGAATTGATGCAACAATTTTCACGTTTTTCGTAAATACGTGGTGAACTAGTTAACTGCGGAATTTAGTTCCAAAAATCTCTTATTATGCGCGCAATAAAGTCAAGCAATGATTAAAGTAAAAGCACCAGTAATTGACCTGGTATCAGTAATTGACTAGTTTTTGGAAAAACGTAAGAAATGAGGTTTTTAAAAGTTTGACTGTCGATAAAGGTGCGATAGATATGTAGCAGCTTCTACCAACCTAACTTTGGAACATTTTTATCTGAATTGAATTGTTTATCGTAAAAACTAACAATTTATTTTATTGATGTTGATTGTATGCCTCCAATTTCTAACGTGGAATTAACTTCTTTTCATTTGTATTTGTCTTTTTACTTGTAATTTGTTATAATCGTTCCGGATAAACGATATTAAGGTAATCACCGTTAGTGTTTTTGGTTTTACTATAAGTGGCCAACTGCTTACTAACATAAAATTAATTACTAGTTTTCTCGTTTTAAAGGATGATCAACTCCCAGCGCAAGTATTGAATTTTCAAAAGTGTGTATAAAATTTGGATAATACGACTATTTCAAAAAAGTCCGCTTTGTTACATAATATAAAAAGTTCAAACAGTATTTTCATGTATAGAGTCTGTCTATTTCATAAAGGAGCTAGCGTTTACTATTATTTACGCAGAAAATTTTTTTTAACTGATCAACTATTGGTGCTTTTACTTTATACATTTATATTTGTCAAATGCAGTGCAAATGTACCTATAATATATTCTGACGGGAAATTAAAACAAAACAAAGAAGAACTTGTTTTCTTTCAAACTAATAACATCTGTTTTCAAACTATTACAACATGCATAAAGGACACTTCACAGGATTTTTTAAAAGACCGTCTCCGGGAATCAACACTTTTTTTACATTGAAAAGTTTGAAACATGATAAATTATTATTACACATTTTTGAAAATGTTTAAAACATAATAAATTATTATTACACATTTTTCGCAGAAATCGGATAATGACCGGTCATATGTGTCATTAACTTCTCAGAATGTTATTATAAGAAAAAATGTTTATTTCCATGGATAATTCTTCATTACTAACTGATAATAGAAATTTACGATTTTACCCGCCTAATGTGTAATTGGCCATGTGTATTGTAATTATTATCGATCTTGTGTTTGACTTATATTTCCATTTTAATTGTTATTGATCTTGTTTTTGACTTACATGTAGATTTACTCTTTAATGAGTTGTGTTATGACTTCTGAAATATCCTATATAGATATATACCATCTCGTGAGTAACAGGGAATTCGTCAGTTTGAAAGTTCTCTCGAGGCGCTTTTGATACAATATTTATGAGATTACTGGATATTTTTAGAATTGTATTATAAAGATGCGATCAAAAGTTCGGGGAAAAAATTTGCAGAACACGATAGATTTAGACTAGGTTCAAGAGCATTTTCTTCAAGATGCTTACTGCTCAATGACGAGTCTTTGGAGTGAGGTTCAATAGGAACTTTAACTTGCAAAAATAAACTGAACTGAATAAAAGTGAATTTCGAACTAAAAGTTCTCGATATTGAATTTCACGTAAATTTTCCTTAAAATCAATCATTACTTAAAATTGAAAAAGACGTGAAACACATTTTCGGAAATCAAATGAGAACTCTATTGAATACAAATTATGGTTTACGAAATTCTGTAATTTTGCAGAATAAGTAACAAAAAATTATATTTTCTATGATCAAATTCTAAAATTTGTATTTATGTTGCGGATTCTTTTAATCGCCCTTTATATTACCTTTGAAAATGTATTTATTTGATCCAGGAAGTCGAGAGTCTGATATAATAATTATTCAGATATTGGGCATATAAATTATTCTCACTTTTTGTTGAAAGTTTTAACACTTCTAAAGTAGTTACCAATATTTTTACAATGCAGAGCTAGGAGGTTAAAAAATATTTGTCACGTATTTTTCGACCGAAAGCGGAAAGCGGTGAAAGAGTGAAAACAAGTGACTAACGGGCATGTCTTTACACGGTAAATCAATAAACCCATACATGTAAATAGTTTTCAGAAGAATTCGTTTGCTTAATTAAATGTATCAACTATTTGACTATGAACAGAGCTTTCAGGCACCCGATGAAAGGCACCACTGTGTACCGTCGACACCGCCTAAAGGCGTTTATTGTCATTCATTCTCTACGGTTCGCAGGCAACGAGTCAAAAATTACTTACAAAAAATTGAACACCAAAATAAATAAAAATTCTTAAACATAAATATAGTTTTACGTAAAATTACACGTCTATAACATATAGCAAAATATAAAACTTGAATGAATTCATATTTTGAAAGCATGCATCCGATAAAAATTTGCACATTTCGAATCACTCGTATTTTATACGAAACGGAATTCCTGATCACGAAATAACTTTTACAACGTCATTTTGTTACAAAAATGAATGTATCTAAATTTCACGTATCCAAATTTCACTTTGTAATCTTCTATAGTTAGATACATAGAATTAATTATAATCTTAAATTATGACTTCAGAGTGGTACTGTATTAGTCAAACAATGCGCCTAGCATATTCCTGGATCCCCTCACACACCAACATTGAAAGAAATGAAAAAGCAAACTCTGCAGTAAAATTAACTAGTTCCAGCATATCCAAATTAAATGACGTATCTATATTCTATCAAGACCGTGAAAATTACCTCACCAAAGCAACAATGGAATCATGGAATGAAGAATGAAAAAATTCAAATCCGACTAAACTACATAGAATCCGAAACATAAACGATGCAAGCCCATCTTGGTTACTAATCAAAACGGACCAAGTGAAACTAACACGAATAAGAATAGGTCACACAAATTGGTCACACTCCCACCTTGTCACCAAAAAGGAACCAAACAACTGTAATATCTGTGGGATACAAAACTCCATCGACCACATTTTGATAACTTGCCCAAAGTACAATACGAAACGGATGCAACAGAACATACCGAATTCATTGACCCTGCTACAAAAAGAAGATCCAAGTAAGAAAGCTATAGAATTCCTAAAGGATATTGGATTGTACCACCTCCTATAGACTGTACCACTAAACAAACCTATTCTGGTCACTAATAACCTCAAGACGTGAATATGACCTAAATCATTCAACAACAACAAAAATGCACCTAGCATATAATTATCCTCTGAGAAAATACAACATGAACGAATACTTCTCAAAAACATATTATTTCAAATCCTTATCAATTTGATAGTGCATTACGCAATATACAGAATAAAAATACACGTACAGTTGTAAGATGACTTGATGTCTACTGGAGCGGCATAGATGAAAGAAATATCTTTCTCGTCTCTAGTATTATAGTTTTAATTGGTTACGTATAACCGTATTGACGAATGACAAATTACTGATCGAAAATATCAGAAATTAGGAAGTAAAACCAACAGAAAATTACCTAAGAAACAATGAAAACTGATCAATCAAGTGAATTCCTCAGCCTAGCCATCATGTAATCTCCTACCAGTACATTACATTTATTCAAAAGACTGCGATAGTCTTTCAGAAATTATACAAGGTGTCCCAAATTCTTCAAGCCAAACTGCGGGAGCATATTCTACAAGTGGAAATAAGAAAAAAAATATTATTCGAAGTCCAAAACGAAACGCTTAATCACAAAGTTATAAACAAATGAAATTTAAATAGGTAATGAAGTATTTTACTTCGCAAAGTATGAAAAGTCGGACGTGTTTACAGTGCAGCTCTCACGTCTTGGCCGGTCGAGACACCAAGCTAAGAGGACGAAGCCAAGGGGAGACAAATACAGTGGAGGTCCCACGTTAGCCAAGCCGACCGTAGGTCTTGGTTAGGTCTTGACTGGCCATCTGATTTCTTCATCCCACGGCTCGGTCAGTAACAAAGATGTGTCAAAACTGAGTCACCGTAAAAATCAGGCCGAGTGTTGCGAGTCGACGTCTCCCCTTACTCCTCTTCATATTTAAACCCATGATCAGCTTGGCTAACGTGGGACCTCCACTGTACAGTGTGTCCTGATGTGAACTAAGCCAGCTAGTGGTTTAAAAGTGAAGAGGGACAAGGGGAAACGTCCACTCGCGGTACTCGACCCGATAGTAATGGGAGAATTAATTTCGACACGTTTTTGTTACTGGCTGAATCGCGAGCTTAGGAGGAATGTGCGGCCGAACCCCTTTGCCTCTCTTAACTTTCGAGCTGCAGGCTGGCTTGGCTCACGTTAGTAACGCACTATACTCGTAGCTCTCGGCCCTGTAGTTACAGTAGGCCCACCACGTCAACGCGGAGCTCCAGCAGGCTTTGAGGGGAAGAAGGCAAGGGGCCTCAGCCGCCCGCTCCACTTCGGTCCTTTCATGAAAGAGCAACCGAGAGTCCGTGTCCTCGGGATTCGGTAAACATAATTTCGGACACGAAATTTCAGACCAATGTTTCTACTCCGTGTTGTTCACGAGAAGAGCTCTGAAAAGAATGCGAATCGCATTGGTCAACTTTCATCTTGTCTCGTCTAATTTTCGATACTCATTTGCTATTCGTCAACACGATTACCCATAACCAATCAAATCATAAACCAAGTCCGTAGCAAGAAACCCCTTGCCACGGGGCTCTTCTCGCGAGCAACGCTGAGTACATTTCTCTTCATCGCATTCCGTTTCACTTGCTTCCTTTATTGCGCGATTCGGCCAATAACAAGGACATGCCGAAACTAATTGCGGACGTCTCTCCTTTCCCCTGTGCAG